ATAAAAAGGTGAAGATAAAAAAATAAATATTATAATAGGTTTCTGATTGAATTTCTGGAGTGATGAGTTATCATTATTTACATTCGAACTAGTGTCCTAATCATTGCTGTTGCTATTACAACGTTTCGGCTGTTGTGCACTCCAGCCTTCCTCAGGTGTATGTCGATCTGGGTAACCTACAGAGGATTCTGAACTGAACTCTTTATTTAATCTACAGTGCTATATTGTTCTCATTCCATTGCCCATGTCTCGGGATATCACGCATAGTTTTTATTTTTAGTACTGCTGAGTTATTGATCGCCCGTTTTCACTGCCAAGACCAGGGATTGAACTCACAATTACTATATCATCAAATTCACGAACGAACACTTTAATCCACTTGGCATAGTGAACTTGGAACCTTAAACCCAACCCGCTTGCTGATTAGTGCTGCTGTGTGCCATGTTTGACTGCTGATGTTGAAGACTTGCTATCATTTGTTTTTCTTTATTAGCGACACTTATTTATTTCCATGTTAGGCCTGCTAAAGAGGTCCTCATAGCCTAGCATACGTGCTGATTCTTCCAGACGTCTAACCCCTGTGTTCTTCCTTATCCAATATTTTCACTTCATTCCAATGGAGCTGATAACTACCCTTTCCCTCCATACATGATCAGCTATCTCCGATTTCGTTGTCTCACTTCTTACTACGACTTTTCAAGGTTTCTCTAGCCTTACTTTTAGGGAGAGGGCTTGTTTCACCTTTACATTCTCTGCTACAGCTGCAAGGAATCTAGCACAAGCAATTCTTGGTCATGTTCTCCCCTTTAGGCTTTACTCGGCTGAGATTTCTCCGTGGAGTAGAACTGCTACTGAATATTATTCTGATGTTATATGGACCGCAAATCTGAATCTTTTTTCCGATAAGACCTTGACGTAAGGTAGACAGGCCGTGACAATTTTCTGGTCTTCCTCCTTGACCATTCTTTTCCTACCTATAGACGCTGGTGTTGTTTGCTGAGTAGCTGTGATTCTGAAGGGCGCGCCTGGTGCTGACCATTTCACGTTGATACATGTCTGGGTCGCCACTTACGATTTTTGCCCGAAGTTGTAGACATCGGATGATCCTTTACTTCACACTGTAGGGATGGTGGGAATTGAAGTTGACGTGTCCGGTAAAGGTTGGTCTGTGATGTATAGATATTTTGAACACATTCTCTGTGTGAGTTATTAGTACATAACTATAGTCCAACAGCATTTGTATAGCTTCCTGCTGGGGCCAGAGTATGAAGGTGTTATCCTCGTATCTTAATATTGGTTAATATTAATATTGGCTTAATATTGGTTTTAGTGGTGCCGTCCCAAAAGTCATTTCCTCGAAGTATTCCATGTATATATTCGCCATCACTGGTGACAGCGGTGAACCCATATCCAAGCCTTCTTCCTGCTGGTATATGTCAGACTCTAGTTGGAAGAATGTTGTCTGAACATCAGCATTTCCATCAGATTATCTATTGGAATGTTAGAACGTTCTCCGAATCTACTCAACAGGTGGCATGCTGAGCCCCTGCAGATGATTATAGGTTTCAATAGAATACCAACTGTAACTGCAGGTTACCCAGATCGATATATGCCTGATGAAGACTGGAGGACACAGTGCCGAAACGGTGTGATAACAACAAGAGAGATAAGGATAATAGTCTGAATATAAATAATTTAAATAAACTAGGTTTGTTTATTACATTTGTTTTTAAGTGAAGTGTTTAAAATAATTAAAGAAATCCAGACGGCTAGCAAAAAAATTAACTAATAAATTTGATGTGAAACTTTTGTTCGTTAGACTTTCTAAAAATAGAATGGCCCAAAAAGAACACTCTGAAAATAAGTCGATCAAAGACGGGCGGTTTGTTATTTGTAAGATTTAATTTTCAAATTTCGAAAAGCGATACATTTTTGCGTTTTTTGGCCAATGAGGAAGGTGAATTTCTTTCCACGCAAATTTAAAATTTGAGACTCGTCTGGAGCTGATTTGAGGCCTATATAAGAAGTCGAGTTGGGTGGAAAATTCAGAAGGTACAAATATTTCAGAAAGATTGAAGAAATGAGGTCACAACCTCGAGAAGTATTGCAGAAGTTACAGAATTATGACTGTCGCCAGTGGATGAACTGGGCGGTTTCTTACAAAAGAAGAAAGAAGCAAAAGGAGTAAGAAACAGGCATAAGTTAAGAAAAACCAGAAAGGTGAAAACTCTCTTATATTAATTTGTTCTTTAAAAAAAAAAGAAGTTCGATTATTAATATAAATTAATATTAATAATCGAACTTTTTTATTAAAAAAAAAGACAAATTTTGCTAAAGTTTCAGCGACTCTGGTGAATTTCCCAACCTCCTCAGTTTCGACTTTCCATACATTTATTTAAAGTGTATCTTTTTGGAAAGAACATGTATTGTTAGAACACATTTTTCAAAGTTAATGTATTGTACCTTCTCAAAAAATTTTCGATCGTTGAAAGTTTTGTTGAATAATTTATATCTGCTTTTTTTTTTTATATCCATATGTAGTTTTTTAGTTGGTTATCTTGCCTTAATAATAAGCCGCACAAAAGGAAAATTTTGTGCAAATATATTTCTAATCCTTGAACTCTATCCTATTGTTTTTATGCCATTCTAATAAATGCTTGCTTCTTTCAAATTTCACAACGGAATTTCGAGTTTTCTTTGTTTATGCACGCGCCTTATACAATATTCGGGATAAGAGAGGCGACGCCCTCTCTTATCCCACTCTCTCCTCAAAAAAAACCCTTTTAAACTCTCTTGGAATGATGAGCCAGTGAAGAAGGAATTTGCCGAGCATCAGTTTTAAATCTTTCTGCTATCGAATGCAAATTTAAACGTGACATTTCTTTCTTTTCTCTGCTTAAATGACAATGGAAATAAATCCAGAAGATGAACGCCGGCGAATTGCGATATCAAATTGAGATGAAACTATATTTTCACTTTTATTTTTTTTCGTTATATTACAGTGTTGTAGGGCTCGGGAGTTAAAAAAAAAAACAATTAGTAGTTGATTTGCCCACGTCAAGAACATCAATGAAGGATGGTAATGACGAGTAAACACAAAGGTAATTTTAACAAAAAAAAAAAAATAAAATAAAATAAATAAAGACAGAAATTATTTACGAATTTATAGGCTTGAGGCTCTGTCAGTAGCTTGTTTCAGGAAAATAGATCATAATTTTTTAAATTCCGTAGCTTTAATGAACTGTCATAAAGAGGAAATGTTATTACAACAGATGAGTGATCTGACACAAAATAATATTAAAAATTATTTTAAACACAGAGTTAGTTTCTCACAGAAGTGATATACAGTTGTATACATTCAAAAGTAGACGAAGAGAATTAGATCGAAATACTTAGCTTTCTCGGATTATTGTAAGACGGTTCTTTGAAGTACCGTCTGCTTTTTTTAAACGCTTGACTTGACATAATATAATTGGCGAGAAATTTGACACTGGCGAAAACTTCAGCGCTGGACGCGGTGAACAGAAACGAAACCTTTCACATGACACTCTTCTATTATTAGTTTAATTTTTCTCCTCATTTTATATCAAAATGAATTTCGGATAGGCTCGCTATTTTTTCTTTCCTTTCGTCTTTTTTTTTCTGGTTCAACGGCAAATTTCTGTGAAGACAAGGTTTTCATAAGCAATTTCACATAGACTTGCGAACTTATTTCCCTTTCTTCTCAGCTCGCCAGTCAATCTCTTTGAACTCAAGGTTTTCATTTGTCCAAAGAAAATTTCACATAGGCTCACGAATTTGTTTCTGTCTTTTTCCTCAGCTCACCCGAATTTGAATGGAGTGTATAAAGGATGTTTTTATTATTTCGTACTCACCACAATATAAAATGAACGTATTAAGCTTCACTAGTAAACTAAAAGCATACGATGAGGAACTTTTCAGTTATTATCTGAGCTTAGTAATATACCATAAGGTTACAAGTGTTGGGCACTTAGTGAAAAGCTAACTTAAAACGTGTACTAATTGGCTTGCTAAATTGACAGTGAAGCATTCGTTTTTAGATCTTAGTTTAGCTGTCACATGTGCAGTTGCATGGGGCTCATTCCAACAAGTTGTTGCATCTACCAATTGCATTAAAGATCAAGTATTTTTGTCTCTGATATCGCGTACGTGTATGAAGGTCCACATTTAAACTTGACCTTTTCTGTCGAGTGTAACCTCTCAGAGATGTGAATTTAGTTCGGCATAATGCAATTAGTATTGTTGAGCAGTTAGTGATACAATAATCTACTATTAAAGTAAATTAGTATGGGAAAAAAGAAGTAATTCACGCAAGCATTCATTTTCGCGTTTTTAAATTCGAAAAATGTATTTTTACCGTGTAACCCGGATATAAGAGACCCGGATATAAGAGAAACCCGGATATAAGAGAGATTTTCTCTGGTCCTAAAGTGTTCCCATACTTACCTAAACAAAATAGACCAAACCCGGATATAAGAGAAACCCGGATATAAGAGACTTTTCCGGTCCCGACAACTCTCTTATATCCGGGTTACACTGTATTTGAATTTGATTGAATATGGATATAATTAAAAAAAAATAAAGCATAAAAAATTACAGCCTTAATTCTTAACGTAGTTTGAATAACCGCATTTATTTTTTATGCACTTACAGGTAGTCTGGTGGCATCTTATCCGGTCTAGTTCTCTGAAATTATTAAACCCAGCAAATAACTGTGTAAAATGTTCTTGATCTAAGAAAGACCTTCAGCAGCGAAGTGCTAAGATAGCAGTTGTCTACCTTTGTTGTGGTTATCTACTGCCATGTTAGTACCGGTTGGTGTCGGTAGACGGCGCTGTCAAATCTGGGCAGCTTCGCTCAGTAAATATTATTCGACTGCGAAGAAGGCAAAATGTTGCTTCGTCCCTGGATGATATGTTTTCAGTTTAAAATCACGTGTATTTAAAAAGAAACGGATTTATTATTACCACTTGCGTTCTATGAAGGTAAGAACATTTTCACCGTGCACTTGTAGTTATTAAAAGTCTGCACTTGATTAGAGAATGCATTTTTTTTTCTCTGGACCGGTCACTTGCGAATTTCCATATCATTACAACTCCTTTGTTTTGGTGGTACCAAACCGGAAAAAATCTGACGATTGAAATTTGTTTAACTACGGAAGATCGGAGGTGCTTATTGTTCGCACATGTTCTCAAGATTGTTAACTTAAAAAATACCTTCTATAAAAGTGCATTTTTTTCTGAAAATATCAGTTTGTTTAACGTAAATTGTATAGATTACCAGTCAAAATATATGTTGGAAGAAATTGCAAATAAAATCTGTTGTATTTTGGTTTTGTTTGGATTTTGGAAGCATTCAAAGAAAGGATTGGCTTATGAAGTTAGTTTTTTATTATTTTTTTTTTTTAAATTACCTGCAGGTGCTGCTTTCAAAGGTAATTTAAAAAGCCATGAAAAAATAGGAATATTTGATTTAACCTAAATGTCACCTTGTCTGATACAAGGCTATTCCAGTGAGCAACCACTGACAACACTGTCTTAGTTGGTAATTGATTTTATTTTAAAATTTAAAATAAACTTTTACTTTTTTACCTGCACTCATATTCAAATAAACAGGTGTCTCCGTTCTTTTTTAACTTTGCTTTCCATCATTCTGTGATTGAATGAAATTGAAATACGAACACTGATTAATGATGATCACGAAAACTGGTTTTACTTTTAAAATAGATTTATTGGCCAGAAATAAGGCTTGAAAAATTAATTGTAGATATCTCCTGTGTGTCACGATTTACGACATCGCTCGATAAAAAGAACATAAAATAAACTCTTATTTACCCGTACCGTGAAGTAGTTTTTTTTTGTTTTTTTTTTTAATTATAATTTTTTAGTTATTCAATAAAATTTTTGTCGATAACAAATGAAAAGTTGAAAACTAACTTGGTAATTGATTTTTGCCTTCTCGAAACTTTCATGTTTTATTTTATTTTAATAAATAGATTATTTATATTTATTTTCTTCAGATGATTTCATGAAAAAAGTTTTTACAACACAATGACGTCTTAGATTTTTTTCTTGTATTTTCACCGTAGAGTTATTTTTATTTTTTGGTGAATAAATAAAACCGTTTAAGCCTTCCTTCGACTGGCATTCCATCTCTCTTTTTTATGCCGTGTCGCTTAGACGTGGACGATCATGACTCTCCACAACTTCCTATCCTTTGTAGTTGTATAGAGCGATGTTTGTATGTTTTACTTTTACTCTTTGACTATCACTACTGCCATCCACTCTTGTTGCTCGCTTCCCCCCTCTGAGTGTCAAATTCTCCGAGGCCTCTTTCTTTTCTCATTTCATTATGTATTCTTAAAAATTTCACCTATCTCTTTCTTATTCTGAATATAAGAGCTTTTTCCATTGTTTCCATTTTACTTGGAAACTTTCTCGATGCTCCCATCTGTCCCTATGGTATATTTTCAAAAACTTTCTGTCGAACCACATCTCTGTTGATGCCCAACTACTGTACGATTTGAATGTTTTTCTTTATGGATTTTTAGACGAGATCTATTTAATAATGATTATTTCAGGAAAATAACTTCTTATTCATTGTTTGTATCTCACAAATTTCAGTCATCAGGTTGCTTTTCACTCGGTAACCTTCAGGCAATGTCGAACAAAACAAAATCATTTGTTTGTTTTTTTTTTTTTTTAATTTATTCGAGGACGTGGCCTCGTCCCAGCATATTGTTCTCATCTAGGGTCAATTTTCTGAACACCTTCTTTAAAAAGGCGTTACTACTCACTGCTATTATTATTAATAATTCTTTTTGGTGCTGTCCGGCCTGATTCTTCCTTCACTGAATGACTCGTTGCATTTTGGTTGAGTGGTCAAAAAATCTTGTTTGCCTGGTGAACGCGGATCCATTCTCAATGAAAAACAATAGAGCATAAATACCCATTGCTAAAAAGAAGAGTAAGATCAGAAAGTACATCCTAATGTCTGCAGCAAAACAATGATTCCAGGAAACATGCTAAAAAATCACGTAAAAATTAAAAGAAATTTGCTATTTCATATTTCAGCGAGTAAACCGCTTTCACTTTATTAGTCCAGGGATTGAACTCGGAAAAAAAATTACCAGCACTTTTATTGATAAAATAACGTTTTCTGCATTATTCAACAATAAAAGAAAGAAAAAAGAATTAAAAAAAATACCGTTTCAACAAGACAAGTGTAAATTGCGCAAAGAAAAGAAAAAAAAAAAAGAACATTTTTATGTCGTACTTTTTTTAAACACTTGACTTGACATAACAATTTTCGTACACGCGCACTTGCACAATATCTGTAATAAACAGAGAAAATAAATTAACTTCATTTTCTTGCAAATTCGATACCATGATTATCAGTAGAAATTAAATAATATCCAGCAACCCAACATTTTCTGGATGCTTCAGGATGCGATAATGGTTTTTACACAAACTTGCAACTTGGTCTCTAGTTTCTAAATGAATTCTCCATACTTGTGGCCTTGTGCCAAACGAAACTACGCTAACAAGGCAACACTTTATTCATTGGACTCTCCAATCTCCAGTGTAAGTTCCTCTTGTTCTTTTAGACCAGTGTCCAGTGCCCCAAGTATTATGGGCACAACCCTCACATTGAACAGCTTTTTCCTTTCTCAGAAAAGGTCTTATTTATTTATTTACTTTACTTTTGTTTCCTCCCACCTTTCGCTTTGTCTTGTGCGCAGAGTAGGATCAGTCAATCTTTTTTTTCCTTTGTTAATAAATTAGTTTCGTTCGGTTAATCAACAAATGAAGGAGAAAAAGTTCTGGTAAAAATATTTTCTTTGTCGTTTTAAAATTTTTTGACTGAAACTAAATTTTAATTTTAATTTCATCTGTGAATTTTTCGTTTTTCATATTTTAAAACTAAAAAGTAACTTTGTTGAATTGACGACCGTAACTTAAGTGAATTGCTTAAGTGGGTGAACGAGTTTAAAAGGGTTCAAATTTTTATCAGATTGTAAAATAAATTGAACTTTGTGAAGTGTCGTAAGGACGGCCCGACACCGGCTATATGGGTTTGAGAAAGCTTACTTGTCTAGAGAGAGAGAGAGAGGATTTCTTGTATCTGGAAAAATCATTATTCTGAAAAGCAAAGAAAAGAATTATTCTTACATTCCAAAATATGCTTCCGCTTTAAAACCTGCAAAGGGGTGATAAACCGTAAAAAAACAAATCAAGCAAGCAAAGTAAGGGTCCAGTTTTACCATAAACCTACATTATTTAAATAAATGTGTCAATTAGATGGGTTGTTGGTGAGAACCGGTCCCCTGCTTTCTCTCCCTCACCCACTCTTTGGGTGCAAAGAGCGAGTGAGGAAAGGTAAAAAATGTAATCCAATTCACTAGCTCAGCCCTCTAAAGTGTTTGTTTCAAGTTTTTCAAAGATGAAAAAATCTTTGAAAAACTTGAAACAAACTTGTATCTTTTCGTTAGCAAGGTTATGTCAATATTTTAAACGGTGTTACTGTTACTGAATTCCATTGATTAAAATTATCGTCATCTGCTAAAAATTATTTAAATTAAAACAGAAACTTTTCTGGAGGAAGTATCTGGAATCCGGTAATTTTTTTCGGATCTCCTGCGGTGTACACTTTTTGTTGAAGACATCTGATTTCCGATAATGTTGTTCTTGGAACATCCTATCAGTGGTTATTATCAGGTTCCAATTGTAATTTTTGTACTTGGTATACTTTTCGAAATCTATACAAGTGCTTATTCGAAAAGAAATGAACACTAAACGATTCATTTAAAAAAAAACATAAAAAATTGAATACTTGGAGAAGAATTTATTTCAAATAAAAAATGTTTTCTAACTGAAAGAATTTTTAATTTATCTGTTTTAGTTTTCTGCGTGTGTATTTGTGCGGAACATTAAACAATTCAGTTAATAATAGTTAATTTATTATTTCTATATCCAAAAATCAATATTTGATTAAATAATCGATTCTTCACTTGATTTTATCACTTTTTCATATTTATATTTTTTAATTCAATAAGACTCGTTATTAATAAGAGGCAGAATCAAAAATTCTTATAATCGCATATAAAACAAAAAGGATGCAGTTCCGATGTGTCCACGCTATAGTACAATAAATATTTATGTCGGTGTCGAGCTACCGTACTTGAAAATATTCTTCTGTTTGCATACGCCTAGGTGTCAACGAGCTTTTCACCTCGTTGGCAGTTCATTTCTTTTGTAATGAATGAAATAATTTTTATATTATGCCGCTAATCATTTTTCACAAACCAATCATAATTTCATTGGGCTAGTTCGCCAAAAAACTGATGGTAGTGGATCAGAGAAAAAAAGCTTTTTGTTTTATAAGACAAAATTTTCTCGAGCAGACCACTTGTTTCAATCAATTCCTAAATTAGAAAAATCAGCAGCAGCTTGTTAGTCTGAAAATTTGGAGATTTTTAATTTTATTTCATTTATTTTTTATTTAAGATAGGAGAAAAAGTAAAAGTAGAAATTGACTTTAGGAAGACTGTCTTGCATCGGTCTTTCAAATGAAGACCTTTTTTTTTTTTTTTAACTTGAAAAATCAGTATTTGAAATTCTGGCTTTTGGCTCAGAAATTTGGACCAGTAGCATCGATGGGAAATTAAATTCGTATCTAACTCAACTCAACCGTCAAACAGACCAAATTATTTACTCAGCTTTGATTTAAAAAGACATTGTTGTGCGGTACCCAATGAGGCTCGAATTCAGTTCAGTATTAATTAGATTTATTAAGTTAGCTCTCTGCTCTGACAAGCGCCCAGGGTTGCTGTATTCTCGTTACTACTACTACGACGACAAATACGACTTTATTATTATTATTATTATTTTAGGTGGAGTTGTGCGGTTAGAAATTAAATGTTATTTTATTTTTTTCACATGTTTTTTTTCATATTACTTACTAAGCATCCATATCACGAAATTAA